AAAGGAAAGGAAAAGTTGTAGTTTCAGCTGGACTCCCTTTTCATGGGGTCCCCCTGCCTGGCACAGCTCTCAGGGGTCTCTGTGTGCCACAGGGTCTCAGACCCCTGGGATGCCCCAGGCTGGCAGCTCCAGTGCCACGGGGTCCTGCCCAGCTGCTCCACCCGGAGTGCACCAGGACGAGATCCCAGCATCTTTACCTTCTTCTTGGACTTGAAGACATTGCACCTGAAGACATTGCTAGACCCGTCCCTGGCAATGTAGCTGAAGATCTTTAGGTCCTGGGAGTCATGAGATACATAGAATATCCTGCAAAGACAGAAGGGAAAGGAGGATATAAGCATACACATTACCCACGTGCCCAGGAGACTGCCAAGGCCAGAACCAATCTTCCCATGGCATGGGGTGCTGGCAGATGCCCAATCTCTGCAGCACATCCCTGCTAAAGCCCATCACAAAATTTTTTGGCACTGGTTTTACCTCAGCTGGGAAAATCTGCCTGCTGATTCAGCAGCAGCAAACATTTTACAAAGGCAGCACGAGACTTCTCTGCTCAGTCCCTGGGGATGTCAGCAGCCCAGGAGCCCTCCAGGGATGGAGAAGAGCAAGCCCCACTCCTGGCCTGCTTGCCTAAGTGCCTGCCACCCCCTCCCCAGCACGACTGGGGGGCTCTCAGTCCAATGTGGCCTCCCTAAGACAGACACACCCTGCTCTTGGTTTTGGGAACAAGATGGAGGAGGAGAGCTGGCAACTTGGGGAAGCCCCACGAGGTGCCCAGCACAGCACGGTGGCAGTGCCCAGCACAGTGCTGGTGAGGTGTGGTGTGGGCAAGGGGCACTGCAGAGCCATGCCAGCCTCTGCCCCTCAGCCCACAGCCTTACCTGTAGATGGGATCATGCATGACGAGCATTTTGTTCTCATCCCAGGCCCACTCTCTTTTCTGCAATGAAAGAAGCTGAAAATGAGTACGTCAGATGCTGTCCTTGAGAACAAGGACAGGGCACAGAGACAGTCCAGGGACATACTTGGGAAGCTCTTGCCACAGCTCTGCTGCTGCTGCTCCCCTGCAACCCTTTGCTGAGGGTTGGGTGCTGTTGGGGACCAGCCACACCCCACATCACCTCCCCAGCCCTTCTGCAGCACACCAGGACTGGCTCAGCCTCCCTGCAGGAACACGGCTCACACCAGGCTGGCCCCAGCCCATCCCTCCCTCTCCCAGCCCACCAGGGCTTCCCAGAAATTCAAGGATGCTGCAAACAGGGGAGGGGCTCTGCTGCTGAGGCCCTGCTGCACAGGGACCTTCTGCTTACCTTCTTCTTCTTCTTCAGAATGACCTTCACTCCATCCACCGACACGATGAGATTCACTTTCTTCTTCTTGATATTCTTGGCTTTAAACTCATACTGCAGGAGATGGAAGAAGACACCTGAATTAGCCTTCCTGTGCCAGGACAGCCCCAGGGAGAGATGAAGAGGGACCAGGGTTTTCCTGGTCCCACATCAGCCTGTACATCCATGCCAGGACAGGACAAGGGGTCTTTTTGCCCTGCAGTGTCCCCTGCAGTGCCCAGTATCTGGAGGAGCACACACCGAAGCAATGCAGTTCCTGGACATGGATAATACTTTCCTCAGTTCAGGATGCTGCTGGGAATGTTAGCTTGTGCTTCAGAAGCCCCTCTGAAGGGCTGTGCCTCCCCAGAGAGGGACCACCACGCCCCCAGCCCTGCCAGGCCCCAGGGATCTGCAGCCTGGCTTGTGGCCATTGCTGAGCTCTGGAAAGTGAAATGGCATTTTGGGTCGGGTATTTTTGGGCTCAGTATAAAACTGAAGACGATTTCTGAGGATTCTGTGAACCCCTCCAGGGGAGATGGGATAATGCAATTACCCACTTCAATTAGAAGTCACCGGACAGGAAAAAATCCCAACAGCAACTTCCAAAGATCAGCGACTAAACACAAAGCTGTGCTCTGGCCTGGGAAGAGAATGAGATTCCCCCAAATCCACCCACTTTGGCATTTTAGAGTGTTACAAGCAGGGAGAAGGCTGGCAGAGGAGTAGGTTAATAAGCCATTTGGGCTGATCCTGCTGTGGGATTTCTGAGGAGTCCCATGACTGGTTTGCTATAGGTGCAGCCACATCAGGCACCTGATCTGCTGGTGCCACTGTGCCCAGCCATGGGGACAAACCCTTTGTGCCCAGGAAAAGCCCTGCACCCTGGCCCTGGCCCTCCTGAGGCAGAGGGGGTGGATTTCTCCTCTCATCCCTCTGGCAGTGTCCCTGCAGAGCAGCACTGCCCTCCCTGCCTGGCTCGCTGTGACATTCCCAGCCTGAGTGATGCATTGGCTCTGGCAGCCAGAGCCAGCAGGCACGGAAAGCTGCTGGCCCTGACCTGTGATCAGATGATGAAAGACTGAGAGCACAATTCCTCAAAGCCTTTTAAAGTGGCTGAAGGGGATGGGAGATTCAGAAGGTTTGGAAAACAGCGTGGGGAGCACAGCTCTGCCCTGCCCCGAGCACCGACCAGGCAAGCCCACCCACGCTGGGGCTGGTGGGCTGGAGAAAGCAGAGCTCAGGCTCCCACCACGGCTTTGGTGAGGCTCAAAGCCCCCAGCACAGCCCCATGTGCTGCTTGCATGGTTTACTGCTCATGGAGAAGGGTCTCACCCAAGAACCCACTGCTGTGGGCTTCCCAGTGCCATCCCCATCACTACCAGCAGGGATGAAACTGCATTCCAGAGCCCTTCTTTGTGTCCTGTCAGGACACTACACCAGTGCCTGGCACCTAACACTACAGAAATGCCCTGATTTAGCCCTGAAAAGGTGAGCTTTGGCCTGACTACCTTGGAGTAATTAATCCAGTCCTTTCTTTGTGATTTTCCAGGAGCTGCAGGCAGATCTGGAAGCTCTCTGCAGCACCCAGGGTGACTGCATGGCACCTTGGGTGCTGATGCCTGATTTATTGGTGCTAACCATCACTGATTATAAACATGCAGCTGCATTTTGGAGCTCCTGCTGCTGGGAGGTTTCTGCTCTGGGCTACCCCAAGTGCTAACTGATGTGGGCTTGGAAGAGAGAATAATATCTCAAGGTGAGACAGATTTTTTTTAGCCTTTTTTTTTGATTGTTGATTTTGAGGGGCTTCCTAATTTGGTCTAAGGAAGTGTTAGCTTTGTGAGGTTCCTCTGAGTGGGATCTGAGACTGCAGGGGTGAAACCAAAACTCTTTATTTAGTGGGGTCATGGAAGAACCCCTCTGTACAAGTGATCAGGACCTCGCTGGCTGGGAGCTGTTCTTGATGACACAGATCTGTTGTGCCTGTCCATGTCTGTCAACATTCCTCCTGCTGCTGCACAACAAAGAGGGCTGCAAAGCATTGGGATTTGAGCTGTTCCTGCTGCTGGGAGGAGAGCAGAAGAGATGGTGGCAGGGTTGGGGATTCTAGGATGGTCTGCACAGCCAGAGCCAGCAGTGCTCCCTGTACCCAAAACAAGCAGGCACAGGAAAAGGAAATCCACATGTTTCCACTGCCACTCAATACTGGGAGTACATCCTGTATTCCCAAAGGTGTGCAACAGGAATTCCCTGTATTTGGCAGCTGAGAGGCAGCAATTCACCCTGTACTTGCTGGGATTTGGGGACTGCCTCAGGAAAAAAAACACATTGCAGACGTGATGAGCTCAGCTCACCCATGGTTCCATCTCAGAGAGCTGAATCCTAGCCTACAGCTTAATAAAGAACTGATACAGAAATAATTATCCAGCTTGAAATCAAGAAAGGAAAGAGGATTTGCACAGCATTCTCATGATCCCCTTTAGTTTCACACCAAGCAGGATTTCACTGTACTGCTTATAACCAATTAAATGCTGTAGCAGAAGAGCTTTCTTAGCCTTCAACCCAGGCATTTTGCCCATCTTGGGTATGTTTCTGGACCTTTAAATATCTCTAATAATACGACAAGCTTGGGTTAATTACATTAATTCTTGTTTATAGCAATGTGGCAACGCCAGAAGAAAGAGAAGGATTAATTTCAAGGAAATGCACAGAAAATGGAAAACCAACAAAATCATTTGTTCCTGGACTTGCACTGGTCTCCCACTGAAGCTCTAAGAGCAGCATTAAAATTTTTGAGCAAAGACTGACAGTGAGCATCTGAGATACATCAATTAAAAAGCCCTGTAACTATTCGAGGAGAAAAGCAAAGGTGGTCTCAGTAATGCAAAAGAAGGACAAGATGACTCATAAGATCCAAGTGAATAAAGATTATCCCTTAATTGTACCCTGCCCACCAAAAAAACCCCACATTCATCTTTTCAAATGGAAGAGAAACATCCACTCCACCAGAGCATGGGAGCCTCCCCATTGACCTTGGGTTAGTGGGAGTCTATTTTCAACATCTGTCCTTTGTGCAGAGTTCAGGATTTCAATAACTTTGGAAGGAAAAGGAGCCAGCTGGTGAATGCATCATTGCACAGCGCATTCCTACTGGCAGAAAATTAAAACTGCCCTTTCTGGAGAGCTGAGTAACATATGTTCCTTAATGGAGAGCACATGTAACCTTGTCAGCTTGGAGTAAAATTATGTATGAATCCCATGTGTGAAAAGCAGGGAAAACTCAGCATCCCTAGAAAGATGCTCCCCATCCCTGTGGGGCTGTTTCCACACAGCAGAAATGTGAGAAAACTCGAAACCACGCGCTGCACACAAGGTCAGGCACCGAGGAGGAGAGATGATGTCTTTCTACATCCATCATCCCCCACGTTCACAAGCATCTGAAAAATGTTAACCTGAATAAAAACGCCCTCATTTCATTCCAGCCTGTCTAAACTGCCTCAGGTACCATTTAAGTCTGCCCACCAGTAAGTAAGGGAAGGTACCAGGAATGCTTTATACAAATAAACAGAATATATTTTTTAAAGGAAGTTGCTCTAAGTGCATCGAGCTGCCCCCGTCCCCATCCACCCTCTATTCCCCTCCTCCTCCTCAAAAAAAAAAAAAAAAAAAAAAAAAAAGAAAGAAAGAGAAAAAAGTTACAAGCTTGTACCTTGTATTGGGGAAAGAGAAGTGTCCTGAGAATTCAATTAACAGGGAAAAAGCAATTCCTACAAAACTCACTGCTGCTCTGCTAGCTTGGGAGGCAGGGGATGAAAACCTGCTGTAAGTAAGTGCAGAAGAGGATGCAGTTTTTGCAGAAAGCTGAATTTCTGTGTGCTTCTGCAGCAAGGCCATGGGACTTTGAGCAAAGCAGGGTCCCCCCAGGCAGCTGTGCTGGATGCAGAGGGCAGGAGCCCCAGGCAGCTCCTCCTGCAGCTGGCTGGTACAGCAGCTCATAAAACACCTCATAAAATACCTCCTGAGTTAGACTTTAACCCTGGGTCAGCCCAGGCCTGTGCTCTTGATGAAGAATTAACTTATTAGAGAATGACAGCCAGGACTGAGTTCAGTGGGCACAGGCTCCACGGCGCCAGGAATTCACAGCTGGGGGAGGCACACAGCTCAATTCCTGCTGCTGACAACATGGGGAACGACAGCAAAGCTCAGCCATGGCCAGCAGCTTCCCAGGAGGGGAGCCTGAGGAACCTCGCTGGGATCCTGACAGCCGTCATTGGGAGGAGTGGCAAACCCAGCTCTGCACAGGGAGAGAGGATTTTGCTTTACTGAGCCACACAAAGAAAGGGCACCAGCCCCAGCGCCCTGCAGGGACTCAGAATCCACCTGTGGGAACGGGAACCTGCGAGGGAAAAAGCCGTTTTTGCCTGGCATGAGGTGCCAAGCCACGCTGGGGTTGGGCAGGGGAAGCAGGAGGAGCAGGAAGGCAGCACTGAGCCCTCTGTGGGGTTACCAACACCCCGAGCTCAGTGCCAGCTCCTGCCAAAGCACCAGGAGCAGACTGCAGCCACAACACCCCATGCCTTCCCTTTTCCTTCTGCTTAATGGGATAAGTGTGCCTTTCAGCCTGGAAGAGCACTGGAGAGAAGGGAATGGTTTTAAATATGGCTTTGGATCTCAGAAGAAGCAGACAGATACAAGCTGGCCAGAAGCAGAGCAGAAGAATCCACAACCATGTAAGCTGTGGTACAGTGTGGTGTCCAGGCAGGGAGCAGGGCAGCAGAGAGCCAGAGTCCTGCCAGGGCTCTCCAGGAGCATCCATCCATCTATCCATCCATGCATCCATCCATCCATCCATGCATCCATCCATCCATGCATGCATCCATCCATCTATCCATCCATCCATCCCTGCTGCTGCCCCCAAAACAGAACAGCCCTGCCAGGACAGCTGCAAGTGTCAGGAATGACATATCTGGGAAAGCAGGACACCTCCCAGGAGGGCACACAGCTTCATCCAAAAGCTTCAGAGTGTCTGACAGTGCACTCCTCTGGGCTGCCCTGTGTGCCCTCAGGGAACTCACACTGCAGTACCTGCTCAGCCTACTGATGTGATCAGCAATAAATGGACTGAAACCCATTTTTAAAACCCTGCTTTAAGCCATCCTACCAAAGTCCTGTGTCTGATCCCATATCCTTCAGTGTGGGATCCCACTGCACCCCAGTTCCTCTGTGCCTCTCTCCATCTGGCCATGAGCATGCCCGTGCTCCTGAGAGCACACCTGCCATGGGATGGATGCCAGCAGCTCCTCCCTGCTTCCTCCAGGAGCTGGGATACAAAAAGCAGGGAAATTTGGGGATCTCCTCGGTGTGGTCACTTTGCTTGGGCTCCCCCCTGCTCCTGCCACCAAATCTGAGGTCAAAACCAGCCCGTGGCACTCACACTAGCAGCAGGGATGGGCACAGAAACATGGAGATACCTGGGGCCAGGATGAAGGTTCCCACCAGTTCCATCCTCAGACTGCCAGCATGGCATGGCCAAACATGCTGGAAACCTGCTCTTGATGAAGAGTTAACTTATTAGAAAATGACACCTCTGCTATCCTGACAGTTTGGGTTTAAACTACTCCTCAGGATTAAATTTCCCCTGCCCTCCTGCCTGTACCCCATTGCTGATAGTTTTTGGCATGAGCTGCACTTCAATTTAAGGCCACAGCAATTTGGAAGAGAGGAGGAATAATGAAGTACTGCATGCTTGTTCTTGGGCTTAATGATGCTTTTTAAAACTCTGCCACAGCTCCTTGGAGTTTGCATTTGCACATATGGGAAATGCAGCTCTGAGGTACGTGTGTTTGTCTGAAATAGATACGATTTTGGTTTGCACTGACAAGGTCAGTGCCTATTTTCCCACCCAACTTCAGGTTTAATTTCAGTACCCGTCTGTGATGGTTGTTATTCCCATTTATACTGATGGGTATAAATGGGAATCAGGGTAAAAATATCCATGTTGTGAGAGCAGCAGAGCAAAGTTAGGGTTGCTGCTTCAGAGCCACCCCAGGATTGCAGCACACCCATCCATCACACAAAATATGTTTTCCAATAACATCCAATACCTCACAATAAATGCCTTCTGCTCAGTTTGCTATTTCCTCCCCTCCCTCCGCTTCCTCCAGCCTCCCCTCGCTGCCTCCGAGTTTCACAAGTTGAGGTGGCAAACTGGGACACACTCACCAGCCATCTGCAGGAGAAGCAGCCTCCCAGGAAGCTCAGAGAAATCAGAACTGCTAAGAATTAAATCAATACCAGGGTTAAATGGAGAACGTTAACAGGCAACAGCTTATGCCAACTCTTTCTTCTCAAGACTTCCATTTGCAAGACGATTTACCTCCCTTACAAAGAAATCCTCAGGCATTCCATACCTGTCTGTGTGTTTTTTTCTCTTTAAACACCTTTCAGTCAGAGGTTCAGAGGAGGCTCATGAGGGATGCAGGAGCAGGAGAACATCCCTCAGTTCCACCAGGAACACCAAGCTTAGGACAGAAAGTTGTGGACTCACAGAGTGACTGGGTTGGTAGAGACCTTCAAGATCATCGAGTCCAACCCATGCCCTAACACCTCAACTAGACCATGGCACCGAGTGCCACATCCAGGGATGGTGACTCCAGCCCAGCTATACCATTTCTCCTCCAGGCTGGAATATCCAGTGGCAGCAGTGCTCATGGGCTGGGAAAAGCAGCAGCTCTCAGGCAGGCATGCAGGTCAGTGCAGACCCTGGCACACTTCATCCCCCAGCCCTGAAAACACCTCCCAAAAAACCACTTTCCTTCCAGAAAGCCAAAGGAGTCAATAGCACAGGATGTGGCAAGCTCCCCCTGCCTCCACACAGCTCTGCTGACCATGCTGGGTGTGAATGAACTGGTGTGTGGGTGCCTGTGGGATACTGGTCAAACTGGTTTTTGATGAATACCAGCGGGCTGGGAGCTGCTTCCTGCAGCCCAGGAGAACAAGGACAGGCTCTGTGTGCATCTGCTCTCACACTGCTCCTCACAACCCAGGAGCAGAGCACAAGGAATGAGGTGTACACGTGCTCACATCCACCACCTGCTGCTAGAATAAGCAGAGGAGCATTCCTTGGGAAGCCCACATCTGCCTGGAATTTGTGGTATTTTTAATTAGACATGTTGGTTTGAGCTGTGCAGGCAGAGGCAGCAGAGCTGTTTGGTGCAGGCACCCTTTGCAAAAGGTGAGGAGCTACCAGAGCCTGGAATTGGGCTCTGCTCTTCCAGCCCAGAGTGGGTTTGAGCCCATTCCTAAACCCAGCTTGGGTTTAGGCTCTTGGCTTAAAGAGCAGCACTGCAGCAGTTCAGCCATTTACAATAATCCCTGAAAAACTCCTGCCCCTCTCTGCCTTGGGAGACCCCAGTTCTGAGCAATGTCCAGCCCAGCACCTTCCTCCACCTGAGAAGGAAAACAAAATTCCTGTGTTCTAAATCATCTTCCAAAGACAGACCCTGCCTCGGGGCAGCCGAGGTGAATCCCTGCCCACACAGGATGGGTCAAAGGCAGGGCTGACATTGCAGAGGAGCACAAAGCCACCCCAAAGCCACCCTGAGGGCAGGTGACACAGCAAGGGGCACCCTCAGAAGATCCCCACACAGCACCTCAGAAAGGTGGCAGCTCAGCCAAGCCAGCCAAATCACAGCACGCTGGTATTTACGCCCCAAGTTGTGAAATACAGGATTTATTTCGGTAATTTTTTTTTACTGCTCTCCCACTGTTGCATAAAAAGCTTGAGTAAGACCAGTTGGGAAGGCAAATGAGAATAGGCAGGCAGAAAAGCAGAGACACACCAAGGAAGGCAGGCTGGCAGTACTGTAACTAAATCAGAGATGATGAAATTCAGACAATTAATAAAGAATGAATAAGCAGCAGCATTAAGGGCTTGGTGCATCAGAAACAAGCCAGCCCTGTGGGGCCCTTTAGATGCTGGCAGTGCTCAGCAATGCTTCTGGGTTGTAATGGAGAAAAGAGGTAATTATTCATATCACTCTTGCTTCACAGCTCCTATTTCAACAATAACTAATGCAGGTATTAAAACCTATTGACTAAATTCCACATGTTAAAGGCAACAAGAGTAATGTCCTTTAGAGGGATTTAAACAGAATTATAGGAAAAATTTCCAAGCAATAAAAATACCAAGATTTTAGGTGGAGTCAGAAAAGAGGGGTTGGAATCCACCTTGGCAGCAATGAGAGACAAAGGACAGAATGTCACTGTGCTTCCAGGAAACCCCAGCCAGGACAGCACAGCAATGCTCATTTCTATGAAGGGCTGGGGAAAAAAAAAAAAAACGAAAGAAAAAAAAAAAGAGTATTTGGTATCCAGGCCAAGTGTGCAGGAATCTGGCATCTACTCATTTCAGGATGATTTTATATGGCATTGGCCAAGCAGTCTCTCTCAGGAAAAAGGAACAGAAGCTGCATCTGCCAAGAGGCAGAAACGTATCCTAAAAAGACCCTGGAGGCACTGCAAGGTGTCACCCCAGTCCAAAGGACACTGTGGGGACAGTGTGGGGACACATGCAGCAAAACAGAAAGGTGACATTACCTCAAACTCCCAAAATCACTACCAATACAACCCATTCCTGCAGAACATCTTCTGCTTTATCACACACTTCAAAGGAGAAACAGAAAAAATCACCAAGAACACAAGGCAGCTTGCCCAGACTCCCACATCCCAGAGGTTAAAACAAACTCCCTGTATTTGTTTTATCCACAGAGAAGGTTTGGTGGGCACTTGTCCACAGCCCAGACCTGGGGCTTGGGAACAGCTTCCTCACATCAAAGGCTCTGATTTTGATGCACAAAATCAACTGGCTGGGAGTTGAAGTTGGAGCCACTCAAATCACAGAAAAACAGATTTTTTTTCACAGAAAGCTCAAGGGGAGCTGCACCCCGAGCCACACTCACCAACAGCTTTGGCCAATTATTCTGGATTTCTCTTTAGATAAAGTGGATTCCTTAGCATGGGAGCAGAGGTCAGCACAGATGTGCTCTTTGTGCTGGAGATACACACACATCCCCCAGGCTCCCAAGGACCAGGGAATGGCTGAAGGAGTCCAGACCAGTCCCATCCATCATGTTAAGAGGGAATGAGAAAATGTCACTGGAGCAAAATGCTAAAAGAAAACGGGAGGCCTTGGAGAGAAAAAGAAAGAGATGGCTCTCTCAGATGTGCATCACTGCTGCAACCCAAACAACAGCACTGTAAAACATCACAGGCCACGCTGCTTCCTGGTAATTAAGAATTAAGCTGAAATTGAACCATCTCTGCTGAAGTTTCCTGTGGCAAATGCTCACTTCAGGCTGGCTTTTGCAGCTTCTGCTGGAACAGATCAGCAGTTCCATGACTGGGAACTGGTTTGGTTGGGGATTTCTCCCTGTCAGGTTACAGTCCCACTGCTGAAAACAAAGCCACAGATTAGGAATCACTGGGATCCTCGTGCTCCATCAGAGAAGCCTGGCCTGAGAAGGAAACATTTTTTTATTCTGAAAGTCCTTTGTCCTGGGTAGACTTTACTCCAAATGTGCCTTCCAAAAATCCCAGTAGAAGCAAATGAACCCCAAATCCCTCTCTCTTTGCTGAACTCCCCAAATCCCTCTGCCCTTGCTGGACTCCCCAAATCCCTCTGCCTTTGCTGTGACTCCAAAACCCCTCTGCCCTTGCTGGACTCCTCAAATCCCTCTCTCCTTGCTGGACACCCCAAATTCCTCTCCCCTCTCTGGACACCCCAATTCCCTCTCTTTGCTGGACACCCCAAATCCCTCTCCCCTTGCTGCAGGCTCTGCACCTCCCCAGGGCACAGCATCCCTTGAACACCTTCCTATTTCACTGAGCCAAAACCACCAAGAATTAATTTTAGCAGGGAAGAATCTGGGGCACGTGGCATTTCTTTGGGAAGGCTGCAGCCCCAGGCTTTTGTCTCTCTGCTGAGGTGATGCAGCACAGAGCACCACAACAGATTAAATTAAAGGGTCCCTGGCCTTTGAGGACCAGCAGGGAAGCACAAGAGCAGAAAGGATCAGACACAGGAGTGATATTCAAAGCTGATTTCAGTTTGGTTTGACTTGAATTCATCCCTGCTCAGGGATGTGGACGAGTCTGACAAGTCACAGCCTCCCTGTGCCTTCGGTTCTCGCCCATAAAATGGATACTAAATATTGCTGGACCCCTGCTTGTCAGCTTTATTAACTTTTTAGTCGCCTTTTCCTGGGTTATTTCTCCCTTCAGCCATGGAGCAAAAGTGAGGAATTGTCTCTGGACACACTCAAGCCTGGCTGCCCCGAATAAGGCTGCCTGCATCTGTCCTGCTCAGCATCAGCACTCAGCACCAGGGAGCATTTGGCCCCACTCCATCCCAAGAGTAAAATGTTGCCATGGCGGCAGAAAATTGATGAAAGCACTGATCTGTTAAAAAAACACACAGAAATTCCATGTTGTAGTAAACAGGAAGGGGAAAAGCCTCTAAATAAAACAAAGCCAAGGGTGAGAGGAGCCACAGACTCTGGGAGAAGGTTCAGCTCTTCACTGCCCTGCCCAGACACTGCTGAGAGCCTGAAATCAGCCAAACCTCACACACCTCTCTCAAACCTATTTCTTCTCATCAACAACCTCTCAGCTAGCCAGGAGCTTATTAATCACAGTTAGAAATTTACCCTAAAATGCAAAGGGAAGTGCAGGTGGATATCCTCACCAGCAATCCCCAGCAGCAGCAGAGCCTGTCCCCTCTTGGTGAGAGTGCTGGGGCTGCTGTGCACTGTGTGTGACAGCTGGTGACACTGACCACAGCCATTTCCCACAGTGACAACACCTTCAGCAGAGGTTTGTGCAAGCCTGAGGCTCGGGCCACCATCAAAGGAAGCTCTGTCACCTTGCAGAAGGGCTATCAAAGGATGCTGGCTGCTGTAGGAACCCTTCAATCCCTCAAAAGCAGCAACCATCAGTGCTAACACGACCCCAAATCTCCCAGAAAAAGCTGCAGATCTCCTTGCCTGGGCTGAATCTATTCATGCCTGGCAGGCAGAGCGTGCAGCAAATCTTTCCCTTCTGGGCAAAAAAAGGAAAAAAGAAAAAAAAAGAAAGAAAGGAGGAAAAGCCAGAGCAGGAGAGGCCCATGGCACCTGCAGTGCCACAGGCTCCAGGTGTGCCTGGGCTCCAGGTGTGCAGGTGTTAACTCCACATCCCCTGCTCCAGGCTCAGCTGCTGCCCTGCCTGAACCACCTGAGCAGCACAGGAGCCCCAGGGCAAGGAGCCAGGAAAGCCAGGGGCACCTGGCCAGCCCCACTGCAACCCACCCCTGCAACCCACCAACCTGTGCATCCTTCACACAGGCTCAAGGAGCATTGCTGAGGAGGAAGAGGAGGAAGCACAAGGCACACAGAGGATGGGCATTGCTGAAATGGTGCTGGCCATGAACTCACAGAGGGATGGGAGCCAGCAGAGCATCCCCTGGCTGGGAAGGGGTGACAGCAAAGGTGTGTCAGGTTCAGGGAGCCTGTTCCCATCCCATCCCCTCCCCAGGGCTCCCTGCAGGTATTCCTGATGGCTCAGACAGTGCAGGCAAGGCAGTGAAGTGACTCAGTGTGAGCAGGAGAGGAAAAGAAAGACAAGGGGAAAGCCCCCAGGCAGGGAGGGAGATGAATCACAGGGGATCCCAGAGAAGGAGCAGAGCCCAGCCCAGCAAAGCCCAACCTAGCACACAGAGGGACAGGCTGTAAGGACAAAAGGCTGCCCCAATCAATCTGGGTACTAATTTAACCAGTTTATTGATGAAATACTAACCACAGGATGAGATCTTGGCCCATTCCATGCCATGCTGCTGGCAATACTAGCCATTATTTTATTGTGACATTAAGTGGCACTGGTGATGCCAGGAGAAATGCAAGCACACCCAGAAGGCTTCACCCCTTTATTGGTGCCTGTCAGAACACTGAAAGAACAACTGAAATTATTACAGACATCCCTTCAAGTCCTCCCAGATCCAAAACAACATAATCTTGTTCATCCTGGATAACTACATCAAGTCATTAGCTTGTCAATAATTCACCTTGCACCGACTTGGCACCAAGTCTTCAGGTGGCCAAAGCCTGAGCATCTCCTGGCCAGCTCACTTCTCACTGTGCTGGTCCTCACAGACAGACAGACAGATAGGGGTGGGCTGTACCAGGCACCCAAATCCTGCTCTGTTCTACAGAAGGGATGGCCGTGCAAGGGGAGAGAAGAAAAAAAAAAAAAGGAAGGCATTGCTGTAAATGACCTCGTGCTTCTAAAAACTCACCATGACAGGAGCAGGGAGAGCTGAGAAATATTCCAATTAAACCAGCTCACAGTTACCCCAGGAGCTCTGCACCAATAACTGGCCACACACATCCATTTTTACACCAGTCCACCTGTGCCCTGCAGAGGATGTGAAATCTTGCTTTCCACAAGCTCGTAGAAATTCAGCAATTTTGCCAATCTGCTAAAATTGAGCTCAGCTATGCAAAGCAGCACAAGTCCCACGAAATCAGATGTACCTGACAGAGTAGGAGGTGGAGAGGAGCAGGATTTACTTGGAATGCCTCCCTGTTCTGAGCCTGCAAAACCCAGCTGGGCACTTCCCAGAAACAGCCCTGCAGAACTTCCACTGAGGCAGCTTTGCAGAAGTGCCTGTGTCGGATTTCTGGCTCAAAGAAAACCTGGATCAAAGCTGTGCTCAGCAATCCAAAAGGGCTGATTCCAAATTCTCCAAAAGAGCTAATCCCAAATTCTCCAAATGGGCTGATGCCAATTTTTCCAAAACAGCTAATTCCAAATTTTCCAAATCGGCTGATTCCAAATTCCCTAGAACCAGGCACCAAGCCCCAGCCAGGCAGGGCTGGCTGCCCTGGAGATGTGCCAGGGGCATGAAGAGGAAAGTATTTGCAGGAATTTACATGGTGACAACGTCAAAAATATACAATTGTGGGGGTTTGTAAAGGTTTTTAAATTTTTAAAAAATATTTTTTATTATTTATTTTTCAAATAAATTTGAAATTTATTTCAAACTTTTGTATTTAATTATTTTTAATTAAATTAAAATTTTAATTTCAATTTTTTGAATTTTTTCCAAAGTTTTTTCGAATTTTTTTTTTTTTATTTTTTCCCAAAATTTTGAAATTTTTTTGGTTGAATGGAGACAGAACCAGGACATAAATCCAACCTCCTGCAGCAGTTCAGGGAGTGAAGCAACACGGGCTGGGTCACCCTGTTTGGGATGAGGAGGAGAGGAGCCAGTTGTACTCACAGAAATCCCACTGCTGGCCCTGGAAACAAGCCCTGGGAACAGGTCTACTGTATATATTATTATTATTATATAATATAATATGTTATATTCTAAATATTTATCTACAGTATTATATATATTTATAATATTATATCATTATATATTATATTATTGTGTATTGTATTATATTATATGGCATCACCAGCCCCCCAGCATGGGCACAGGGCATGGATCCATGGCATCACCAAGCCCCTGTTTAAAGCTGCTCTGACCCACAGAGGGACCAGTTTTGGGCTGAGCCTCCAGGCATGCCAGCAATGCCAGCTATGCAGTGTCCCCTTCTGTGCCCCCACAGGGTCAGGGCTCCATCTAAACAGGAAACCAGGACCTGCCAGACCCCAGTGTGGGGGAGTGGAGGGGAGGCAGAGCTACAGGAGGTGCTGCTGCTGTCCCAGCAGTCTTGGGGGGCTTCCAGGGCATTCCCTCCACTGGGATCCCCACTTTCAGGCAGCCACCATCCTCAATTCTTTGCAGAGTTGCTTTTTATATCACTTAGTAAACAGAGGCAAAGCCCAATTTACCATGAAGGAGTACTTGGAACACACTGAGACAGAGCAGCTTCCCCCTAAACCAGGGACTGCACTAAAAACCCCACAAACCTTCTCCCAAAACCAAAGACTGCATTAAAAACCCCACAAACCTTCCCCCAAAACCAGGGACTGCACTAAAACCACACCAACTTCAGGGTCAGCAGCTGCTTCACACCCCACACACGAAACTGCTGCCATCTTCCACTGCTCGCTTTCTGTGCCTAAATCAACTTCCTTCCTCTGGTCCCCCCATAATGCCAGAATTATGGGATTATGTTATGCCTTAAATCAGAAGGGTAGCTGTCAGGAGGTCATGCATTCATTCCTTCAGCTCCAGCCAAACTGGAAGGAGCCCCCAGCACCCAGACTGGCCAGAAATGTCCTCAGCATCTCCTGCTGCCAGGCACCCAGCCCAGAGCACCAGGGGAGAGCTCTGCATGTCAGCAGCCATCAGAACAACCATCCTGGCATCCCCCTCACCAGCAGCACCCCCGACAGACAGACAGACAGACATCCAGAGTGTCTCTGGCAGATCTGAGCTGCAAAGTCAATGATGTGCATCTCTGCATCATTTCACCCCATTCTGTGTCCTTTCACTGCCACTCTTGAGCTGTACCTATGAATTTTCTAGGCTGTGCTTGAGTTTATTTATACAGGTCAACAAGGATGCTCTGGTGCTCTTATTTTCCCCCCAGGTTTACTTGAGGTCTCAAAGTTGTGCCAGTCCTTCCACACTGAGGTGGAGCTCTGTGATTTTGGGACTGCAGGTGCATTGGTTCAAAAGTCTTATCTTGAAAGGCAGGGAAGGTTTATGAGAGTGTGTAAAGACCTAAAGACATAAAGACCTTCCCAGCTCCTGCCCCAGTCACATTAACTCCATGGGGAGGACAGGACAGCAGGTAGGAAAGCTGCTGAGGAAAGCCCACAAAATATTTACACTCTGAAAGTTTGAAACAGAAGAGCCTTGAAATCTCTGTCCTTTGAACATGGTGCACCTCCTCTGGTGAAAGAGAGAATGGGATTATGGCAGGAGTCTGCATGGACTGGGAGGAGCACAGCTCTGGTGCTTATGGGACCAGCACAAGGACAGCCCATCCCTTACCCCACATCCCTTCAGTGCCTTCAGGCCCTCCAGCTCAGGGTGCTTTCCCCAGCAGAGAGCCATCCCTGGAGCACAGGGACACTCCTTGCTGTGGCCCAAGGACACACCAAGCCAGCACGGCCACAGAACCACACCAAGGGCTGAAGAGCAGCCAAGCTCCTGCTTTACCCAGCCTGGGGGCAGCAGTTATGGGGTGCATTTGGGGTTTGCTCCCCATATGGGGTTTGCTGCCCTCCCAGCCCCCTCTGCACACCTTGCAGTCGTGCTGGCCACAGGCTGGGCAGCAGAGCAGAAGAAAAGCTCCTCTCCTGGCTCCTGGCCAAGCATTGTACAGCAAGGGTGTCCCATATCCTGACTAGAAGTATTTTGGGAAGCCAGATGACTTCACTACCAGATGACAGCCCCTGACCTATTCCCAGCTAAACAAGCTCACTGCTGGCCAGCCCCAGAGCTGGCTACTCTGCACTTGCATGTGCACACTGCCACAGCCAGGCAGCACCCCCATTCCCAAGCTGCTGAAACTCTTACACTAAAACCCTAGGGAGCCTCTTGCAAAAGGAGCCTGCTCTGTGCTGCCAACAGGACTGTGCCACACCAAGCCTCTCCAGCTGGCAGGGACAGGGACAGGGACACACAGAGCTATGAATACACAGGAGGATGGGATGGATGCAAGGAAAAGCTGCAGGTGCAGGTGGAGGAGACGCCCAGGAACTGGGTTTTGGGTGGGGAAGGGGAAGGAGAAGCCTGGCCACACTGGGAAGGAGCAGGATGGCCACCATGGGAAGGAACAGGCTGGCCACACTGGGAAGGGACAAGCCGGCCACCATGGGAAGGGACAGGCTGGCCACCAGGGGAAGGGACAGGCTGGCCACACTGGGAAAGGACAAGCTGGCCACCATGGGAAGAAGCAGCCTGGCCACCATGGGAAGAAGCAGCCTGGCCACCAGGGGAAGGGACAGGCTGGCCACCAGGGGAAGGGACAGGCTGGCCACCAGGGGAAGGGACAGGCTGGCCAGCAGGGGAAGGGACAGGCTGGCCACACTCACCCTGATGCGCCGCATGGCCGTCACGATCTCCACGCGGCTGTTTGGCCGTGGCACATCCAGGCTCCCGATGTACTGCAAGGAAAGAAAGGAGATCAGCCCAGTTCCTGCAGCCCTGCAATCCCCATGGCCCCACCATGGCCTCAGTGGTATCCACACAGTGGAATTCCCAGGGACACTTCTGGGGAATGAGCAGCATTGTCCCTGCTGTGCCTGAATCCCTGCACGCCTCCAGCCATGAAGCTGCTCGCTCACCACACCACTGCAAGCAGCCAAAACCTCTTTTTCTATCAATAAAATAACTTCAGCCATCAGAGCAGCAGGACTCACTCATCTAGGCCATGATCAAAGCACACAGGTATAAGCAAATATCCCCTGTCTGCAGTGAGTCATCTATTACAGACCTGGATATTGGAATATCCCTAAAATAGCCGGACCAACCTGTCCTGTGACAGGCCCTCCATTATTTAACTGCAGCCCTGCCAAACCCGGGGCTGTTTCTGCAGGAATGCTGAGCCTCCAGGCCAAGCTTCCAGAATAAAGGAGCAGCTTTGCTATTCAAAGGGGACCAAAGGCAGCGCCACTGCCACCCAGCACGGAGAGCCGAGGAACAAAACCCTTTTTAGAAATAAAATGGAAGAGGGCAGGTTCTGAAGAAGGATCAGAAAACAGACAAGCCAGGAAGAGTCAATGCTGAGCACTAAAAACGTGTAGTTAGGAGAAAAGCTATTTACTGGCCCTGTGTGCTCCCACGCTTCATCTCACAGCAAGGCTGACGTAACCCTCGGCAGCACAGCACGGGCACCAAACCCAGCAGGGCTACGTGCCCCTGGGACAGGGCCACCACCTCTGCTGCCACCATGGGAGCCCTTCCCAGCAGCAGCACACACATGGGTGCCCAAGGGTCTGAACACGAGCCCAGGCAGAGGATGGTGAGAGGAGTTATTCCTCCCCCAGCATCACTGCAGGACTTCCAGCTCCCCTGCACTGGAGGGGTGGCAGGGGCCAGGGGACGCAGGGCCATGCCTGGGCTCTGTGTGTGGGCTGTTCCTGTGGCACAGGAGCTCAGGGAGCCCTGTATTTCTGTTTTCAGCTCCTTGCTGACCCCCCACACCCCATCTCACAGCTCAGCCAGGCCACCCCCAGGCACGCTGCTCCAGCCTGGGGGGACACAGAGCAGGTGCCCAGTGGCCAGCACGATGCTGAGAGGAGATGTGAGAGGCAGGATATAAAAATAACCCCCAAACAGCTGGCGTGGCCATCACGTGCTGTGCCTTATGTAATGGGAATTACAGCCCTTTGCTGCCCTGCTGGGAGCACACAGCCCTGAGAGGTTCCCTGTCACATCCCCTGCACAGCCTGCCACCCCTGCAGAGGGACAGGTCATCCCAGACACCAACACATCCCTTTTCTGAACTGAGGGCTGGAAACCATCAGTAAAAGCAGGAGCTGAGGAGGGAAGAGGCAGCTGGAGCCCTGAACTTGCAGTCCCATGCACGACCTAAGGAAGGAGCCTTTCCCCATCCTGCTCTGCCAGGTAAACATCCCTGCTGTACTTCCCTCCAAGCCTTCCCACATTGTTTTCCTGCCAGGGAGCACAGGGGAAGGAGGATTCTTACCCGACATGAACAGACTTTTGCAGCCAGAGGAAGCCCCTCTCCTTCCAGCTATTCCCAGCTGCACGAGGTCAGTGCCTGGTGATCCCTTTCCTTCCCCTGTGCTTTCCTGGCCCAGGCAGGTGCAGAAATCAGCTGTGCCCAGGGACAGGGCAGGCAGTGCCAGCTGGGCAGGAAGGACACGGCAATTCCAGCCATGCCACGTCCTGGCTGCCACCACACACAACCCACGGCCACAACTGCACCACGTCTCTGGAGTGGCTCCTGGCAAACAACAGCAGCAGGCTTGTCTCGATGCTGTCCTGCTCCAGCTCGTGTCCACAGGTACCCAAATGGAGGGGCACAGGTCACAAACCCTGCAGGACTCACCTTAGCCTGGGCTCCAGAGCATCCTCTGTGTTCCAGAGCATCCTGCTGCATCCCACAGCCCGTGGGTGCCCAGGGCACATCCAACCCCAGTGTGGGCTCACTGCACACCATGACTGTGCCCACAGCCCCAAAAACACCCATCTCCACTCTCCCATCTCCACTCTGGAGGTAGGTATTTTTTAACACGTTTCACACAACTCAGCAGATGGACAAAGTCTCTCCAGACTATTTTTGCCTCCAGGGCAGAAATCACACGAGACAATTGTGCTGCAGAAGAATAAGCCTTTACAATGTGGTGAATATCCCCCCAAAATGTGGACTTGGGGTTGGTCCTTCAGCTCAACAGCTTCCCAGGCCAGTTGGGGGATAGTGTGAAAAACCACCCATATTCAGCAGTGATGTGCAGGCAGGGAGGGCTGCTCCTGCTCCTCTCTCCTCCAGCCCTCCCACTCACAGCACCAGTTTTATTTGTGGGAATAGGTGTGGGAACAAGCAGGTGAGACAAAGACGAGGATAAGCAAAGCAGCCAGAGCTTCCAGGGTGCAATACTTCCCACTCACCCACCCACCCCTGAGCCTGAGCCTGAGCTCCCTCTCTGCCAGGGCAGGAGCTCAGAGACCCCCAGGCACAGAGTTCTGTGCCCCCAGAAGAGGTGCCAGAACATGGTGGTGGCCCTGGTCCCTGCAGGGCCACTGTCCTGGCTCCTGGACTCAGGCCAGCATCCATGCCATCCCAGGGCCAAGGGAAGCAGGAAGGAGAAAGGAAGGTGCCCGGGACAAAAGGAAGAAAATAAAGCTGTACAAAAGAGCTGACAAAGAAAATAAACCCGTGAAAGAACTCACCCTCCCTAAGCCCCTGTGAACCAACATGTTTTCATGAGCAGGATGTGGCTTTTCCAAATAATCACCTCCAGATCCACAGCCCCACCACCCTGCCAAGGGCTGGAGTCCCCACACCCAAGAGCCAAGTGGGATCAGGGGGTCACAAATCTCCACGAGCTCTCCTGGGCAGCCTCCTCCTCCCCAGCCCAATTAGGGGAAGAAAGGCCACCCACCCACTGGGTGAATGGGCAGCCAAGGAGGGCCCTGGTGCAGCCCCACAAAGGCAGCCTTCACCCTGCCAAGTGCTGCTCCAGGCTGTGATGCCAGCACAAAGCACCATCCATCCATCCATCCATCCATCCATCCATCCATCCATCCATCCAGGGCAGTCCCCTCCCAGCCCCACCAGGCTCCCTAAGGGGACTCTGCTCTGCCCCCTCCCCATGCACACAGGCTCTCCTCTCTGTCTTTGGGCACAGTGGGCAGGGCCCCTGCTCACAGCCTACACCACTGCACCCATGGCTTACAAAAGATCTGCCCAGTCCTAGGGAAATGCCAGGGGGAAAAAAAATAAATTTGTTTTTTTGTTTTTTTTTTTTTTTTAACAGAAAACAAAGGGGAGCGCTTTGCCAAAGCGCTGTTTGCACAAGTCACTCAGCTCCTCATTTTTCCTCGAGGCTGTTGAATACTGCTCGTTTTCTGCTCTGTCAGGAACGAATTTTCTTAAGGAGCTGCTTTTTCAGTGACAGCAGGTGGCAGATATTTTCGGAAAGCTGAAGGCCATTGGCATCAGTGCCGGGGGACACCTTGGCAGGGGTGTTGATGGGATGGCTGGTGGGCAGAGGTGGGCAGAGGTGGGCAGCCAGAGCCTTGCTGGGGAGGAGATGCCATTCCCGCCGCTCTGAGTGCGTGCAAAGGTCAGGGCTGAATCATCCCTGGCTCACAGGGCAGCCTGCACTGCCTGGCTGCTGGTTTCCAGCTCCCAGAGCCACCCTGAGCCAGGGACCCTGCCACAGATGGGAGCCACTGCTGCTTCCTGGGAGCTGCACTAGGGTGGGGGGGACATTCTGGCCATCCTCAGGGCCAGCAGAGCCCTGTCTGGGCAAGGGGTCCTGCCCCAGAGGTACCAGCAGCCCGATGGGAGGCACCAGGGTTCCCAGATTCCTACAGACAGTGTGAGGCTGCCCCCGGCACCGGGACATTGACCCTGCCACACTCAAAGTGAGGGACAAAGGGCTCTGAAACCTCTGCATTCCTCCAGCAGCCGGGGAACACCCAGCCCGTCTGCAGCCTGCCTGATAAGGGCTTCACCCCAGGCTGCTGCTCCCAGGGAAAGCAGGGACAAATCCATTCCCAGGGCTTTGGCTGTCCCACTGCCACTGCTCTCCAGTTCCCCACGCCCAGGGAGCCAAGGCTCTGGGCTGGCATGGTCCTGGCATGTCCTGCACCTCAGGAACTCCCTGCCTGCCTGGCTGGAAAGGGGGAAGTTTACTCATACTCTGGTGGTGCAGGCTCAGAGGCCGACAGGGATGGAAAATTCACGATGCCAGCCACCGGAATGGAAAAAGACCCTGGCTTCTATTCTGAGTGCAGCAGATGGGTGCTGAGCTGAGCTGGGCACCTCAGCCTTGCCCAGTGCCTCCCTGAGCAGGGCTCTGCATCCCAGGACAGCACACCCAGCCTTGGCAGCCAGGGGTCAGAGCCACCCAGAGCCACACAGCTGGACAGCAGAGACAATCACAGCAGGGACAACCACAGCAGGGACAATCACAGCAGGGACAATCACAGCAGGGACAATCACAGCAGGGACAATCACAGCAGGGACAATCACAGCAGGGACAATCACAGCAGGCAGGCTGTCCTGGAGGACACCAGTGCCTGTGTCTGCTGCTCCCACAGTACCTTCCCTGCTTAGGAGCAGCCCTGGGGCTCAAGTCCAGAGCTCTGGGGTCTCCAGACACTGACCAGAGCCAGGAGCAGCACATCCACTCTGCCCTGCCAGCAGCCACAACAAGGCTCACCCAAAAAGGGCAGACACCTGTGCTGCAGGTGACCAGCAGCAGGGATGAAGTTTTTCCACACCAGTGCAGCAGCACTGCCCACTCACCGTGCTTCCATCCCCACCCTGGCCTGAGCTCCCTGCACCACAGCAGGGATGTGCAAGCCCAGAGCGCTGCAGGAAGCAGGGCTGGGAGCATCCCACCCTGCAGCTGCTCCCCTGGCACCTCCTGGCACCTGCTCTGCCCACCTGGGACCCGCTGTGTCACAGCCAGACAGAGTTTTCTTTGCTAAGAGCTCCGCTAAGCAGGCGATGAGCTGACTTAACAAGCATGGCAGAAACATGCCAGTGTTTCAGAGGAGAACCTTTGTAGGCTTGGGAAGGTTATTTATAGCCTGGAGCCAGCCATCCCGGGCTCAGGCACACTGCAGCTCTGCTCTGGGCTCAGCAGCCCCGACAGAGCACAGCAGAGCTGCCAGCACAAACAGCCCCCAAACTGAGCTGCCAGCTCGCTGCCAGCCAGCCAGAGTGGTGCAGAGCATCACAAAACCTGCCTGCTGCTTCCCAGCCCTCCAGGAAAGGAGCCTGAAGCAGTGGAGGGGAACTGAGCACCTCCGTCAGGGCTGCCTGCAACTCCGTTTCCAACGCTGTTATTTGCAGCCCCTGTGTAAATAAAAATACACACAGGAGAGGAAACACACAGGTACTCCCTGCTTAGTGCTCACCTGAGGCTATAATGGTTTTCCTGTACAGGATTTCTCTCTGGAGCAGCTGGCAGTGCCTGCAGCCCCTGGAGGGTGGCAGGCAGGTGGGCTGGGGAGGTTCAGAGGAAGGGACAAGGATCAGACTCAAGTCTCCTCCGTGTCCCATCTCCAAACATAGACAGCAGCAGATGCTCAGCGCAGATTCCCACGCACGGAAGCAGAGAAAAGCACTGACAAAAATGAGAGAAAGTGCCTGGTTGCCAAGACCACTTAAGGGGAAAAAAAAAAAAACACCCCACCAGCCAAACACAAAAACCCCACCTGCTGCACAGAAGAACAGCAACCCTCCTGAACCTGCAGTCCCACATCCACCTGAGAGCAGGTCTGGAATCAGGAACGGCAGCTTTCAGCATAGGGGATGCCCAGGCAGCCCCAGACCACAGGCACTGGGTCCCCCAAGGATTGAGATGTGTTTGGGCAGCCACTTCTCCCCTTTCCTGCACAGCAGAGAGCATCCTCACACCCCTTCTTTGGAAACCATGCACCTCAAGGCACTGAAAAGGCATTAATGGGCCTGAAGGAGTGACAGCTGTTCCCAAACAATGGGCATTTGGAAGGTGGGACCTTGCTCTGGACCACAAGACCTCTGGGGCAGGAGGAAACCCCAGCCCAGCCCCAGCTCCCAGGACAGGGACAGGGACAGTACCACTTCCCTGAGCAAACCCAGCAGCACCCATGAGTCCAAGAGACGAGGGTCTGGTATTCCAGAGCCAGGCTCCACCACCCCACTCCATTCCCTGTGCCTGCTGCTCTCTCTGGAGGAGCTGGAGTAGCCTGAGTCATCATTCCTGAATGTGCAGAATTGCTGGTGTTGCACAAGGTGGCCCTTGGGTTTTGTCCTCCAGCTTTGGGGAGATAAGGAGTGAGCTCACAACCCTCTGCTCATGAAGGTGGAGGAGCTGTCTTTCCTCTCTACATCCCCGTTTATTTCACCAGAAAACCACTGCACAAGTGGGAATTTCTGTCCATTCCCCTGCACCATGCTGCAACTCCCAATTCTTTCATCCAAACGGTTCAGCTAACCCAAGAGGCCAGGCTTTGATTTTACTCAACAGTGCAGACTGCAAGACACAGAAGAAAACAAATCCCCTCGGAGCCAGCTCCTCCAATTCCCTGCAGCCTGACCAAGGCATCTCTGGGGGTTTGGGGCCAAGAGAAGTGGCCAATGAAAACAGACCCAAAAGTGTGAAATGCATTCCTGCTCCTAAGAAGATGGAGTGGGATTTTCCATCTCTTGGATTTATCTGCAGAAAATGGATTACCATAATCCTTAGGGGACCCTTGGCTCTGACTCGGTGACCCCGTGCCAGCACACACGGCTGCAAGTGGCTCCAGTGGGGACAAGAGGCACAAATGGCAGCTCACATCAAGTCCATCACCCTTTGCTCGACAAAGGTTCAAATTCTGACTCCCAAGACTCCCTCAGGAGAGGCACAAGGGGGACAGCAGCACGGCTGCCAGCTGCTGTGATGGACCAAAACCTGCACTGCACACGCTTCAGGACAGAGCAGCAGCTCTGAGTGGGAGAACACCATTAAAAATCCAAGCCATAAAGCAGCCCACACTGACTCAGGCCCACAGTACCCCCCTGCAGTGAGCCCCAAGCAGGCTCGTCAGGAATCTCAGGCTGCTGCAGCCAAGAGCGCTGCTCCAGCTGCTGAGCCCTAACACCGGGATCCCTGCCGCCCACACCAGCAGCTTTCCCAAGCGGATTTGAGGAGACAGCCACTCGAGTGCTGACACCCCAGAGCAGCGTTTTTCTGGTTTAATCTTCCCCCAAAGTTCTGCTCTAGATCACAGTTCCACACTTTTGTGACTCGCGCTCGGTGCCTGGCTGCAACACGAGCTGTGCGGGTGTGAGCGCCTGGGATTCTTGGGAATGAGAGGAAGCAAAGGAGTGTAAGCATTTAATTAATCTCCAGCAATCTAATAAAAGGATAGAGTAATTGCCATCAGCCATCTGCATTCTGTATCTGGCACCGAGGGCTGCTGGAGAAACCCAGGAATTGGGAAGCCGGGTTTCGTACGGCTCGTGCTTGGCATGGGAGCGTGCCACCGGATACCAAATAAGAGAAAGAGGAGCTAACAAAGGCTGATGTGAGCCCTGCACTAACACAGCCAGCCCGGCAGCGTGGAGCCACGAGCACACCCGGGGGCTGCTGACCCCCTGTCCCACTCCCCAAACCCCAGGCCGGGTCACTCGAGGGGTTTGGAAGGTGAGATGCTCGGCATCCTCCCCGCAGGTGAGGGGTGAGCAGGTGCTGGCAGCAAAACTTGGAGCAACCGGCTCCCATCACCCAGCAGCAAAAGGCTGCAAAGTCGAGCTTGGGCAGCCTTTCCCAGGAAATAGTTGTAAAGGAGGTTTAAGTTTGTCCCATAAACAACTGTTCTGCAGCCAGCGGGCAGGTGATGGCCTCTGCAGAGGAACCCTCCCGGCCCCGAGAAAAGGCGGAAAATAAAATAACACTTGGACACCCTCCGACGAGCCGCAGCCTTGCCCCGAGGGCATCGCACACAATCAGATATCAAATTTTCCTCCCCTGACAGCACATGTTCCCCGAAGATAACAAAGCGTGACAGACGCCTGCCTTCCTGCTTTTACACCTTTTTCTCCTAAGCCAACCTCACCCGAGTATCTCCGCTGGCACCATAACCGCGCTCCCCAGAAGAAGCAAATTTTATGTTTCCCCTTTCCAATCCTCCTGGCCAGCTCCTTCCCGGTTTCCTGCTGGCCAGCGTGGCTCGCTCGGTGGCTCGGCTTTTGCCAGCCTGCTGCGAGATGGCAAGCGCCAGCCTGCGGGAAGCCACAGCCGACGTGGAGCGAGGGAAGGAAAAGTCCCGGCGGAAAAGAAAAGATAAAAAAGAAAAGAGCACTCCGCGCCAAATCCGCTAGCAAGGATAGTTTGTATGCATAAAGAGAAATAGCGAGCGTTTATTTCGGGTGCGTGTCCCGGACCGCGCACAGTTCATCCGGCTGCTGGATGCAGGAGCACCAGGATCCGGTCCAGGGCATCCTGCAGACCCCAACCAGCCGTGCCCCATCCCAGGTGGGGCACTGCTCACAGCGCTGGAGCCGCAGGGCACAGCCCGAGCCCTCTGCTCTCTCCCAGACGGGAAGATGCACACGGACCCCGCTTTTGGGGCCAGCGTCCCCCAAAGCACCGCGCGGAGCCCGGGAGGGATGCAGGGCCAGGCAGGGATGCTGGGGTGAAGCAGGAGGGTGACCCCACTCCCGCCTGACCGATTCCACGGGCATCCCTACCGGACAGGTGAGAAGCCTCGCCCGACTCCGCACCTGAGTTTAGGGGAGAGCAAGGGGAAAAACGCCAAGGGGCAAAGCAGAAATCCCTCGGCTGTGCCAAGAGCGAGCTGTAAAACCGGGCATGCCGGCGTGCAGCGACCCCCGGCGCTCCCCGCGCCCGCCGCCCACCTTGGCCTCGAAGCAGATGCCGTGCTGGAAGGCGTCCTCGTTGTGCAGCGGGATGCGCAGGTCGTGCCGGTCATCCACCAGGTTGTACTTGGACTTGGCGGGCATGGCGGCCCCGCGGCCGGGCAGCCCTGCAGCGCGCCCGGCCCGGCCCGGCCCGGCACGGCCCTGCCGCCGCCAGCGCCGCCCAGCCCGGCCAGCCCGGCCCCGGGGCGGGGACGCGCCCGCGCGGAGCGAGCGGGGCGGTGCGGGGGGAGCGGGCCCGCCGGGCGGCACCGGCACCGGCACCGGAGCGAGCGGGGCGGTGCGGGGGAGCGTGCCCTTGGGGCGGCACCGGGACTGGCACCGGAGCGAGCGGGACCGGCTGCGCGTCCCCTCCCGGTCGGCACCGGTACCGAGGCGGGCTGTGCGTCCCCTCCCGGGTGGCACCGGTACCGAGGCGGGCTGTGCGTCCCCTCCCGGGTGGCACCGGTACCGGGACGGGCTGTGCGTCCCCTCCCGGGTGGCACCGGTACCGGGACGGGCTGTGCGTCCCCTCCCGCGTGACACCGGTACCGAGGAGAGCTGCGCGTCCCCTCCCGGGTGGCACCGGTACCGGAGCGAGCGGGGAGGGCTGCGCGTCCCCTCCCGGGTGGCACCGGTACCGAGGAGGGCTGTGCGTCCCCTCCCGGGTGGCACCGGTACCGGGACGGGCTGCGCGTCCCCTCCCGCGTGGCACCGGTACCGAGGAGGGCTGTGCGTTCCCTCCCGGGTGGCACCGGTACCGGGACGGGCTGTGCGTCCCTACCCGGTCGGCACCGGCCCCGGTACCGGTGCGAGCGGTGCGGCGGCGCTGACACCCGGTGCCTTGTGCGCGGGGCCGGGCTTGCGCCCCGCCGCCAAACTTGAAATACGCGGGAAATCCAAGCGGGGATAATGGGAACGGTTAATGGGATAAACGGATAATGAGAGGCTCGGGGAGGGTGGGCAGCACCGCAGGGCAAGGGCGGCGCTGGGAGCGGGACCCGCATCCCTCCGAGAGCCAAGGAACTTTGTCTCAGCGCCGGAGAAAACACGGTGGAAACCGAGCAAGCTGGAAGTGGAAAATCTCCATCTTGTGCTTGAAGAAAGATCAGCTCTTGACAGCAGACCCCCGGCCGTACCGGGTCCTCCCTAACCAAAGTCCCAAAAGCTGTGAATACACTTACCATCATAAAGTCACCCCAAGACAACTTCCCACCCACTGAGAGCAGCCCAGAGCTGTTTTCCAGCTCTTCAGGGAGCAGCTCACATGGATCTGACCTCAGGTGCAGGCTGTTGCATCCCTTACCCCACACGCACAGTGTTCTCTCAGGTGGGGCTCCACCCTTCTGTGTTTGGATACCCACGGGTGCTGCAGAGCTCATCACCCCGCGGTGTCCCCGCAGAGCCAGCACTGGGCTCGGAATCACTCCTGTGCACAGGAGAACCACAGCTCCCAAAGCCCTTGCATGTTCCCACAGCCAGAGCCCGCTCCCTCAGGGTTCCAAATGACTGCAGCGCAAAGAGCAGCGCTGATTGTTGATCCTTCCCCGGGCAGAACAGATCAAGGGCCATTGATTTTTTTCAGCCTGGATCGATGTGGTGAAACTTCCTCTGAGTTTATAAGACAATCCATTGCCAGCCACAGCACTTCAGCCACATCTGAAATGGAAAAATGAATTGTTCCACTCAGAAGGGGGTGGGCTTCCCACCACCCCCAGAGGCTCAGCTGGCAGTCTGGGCACAGACAATTACACCAAAGCCGAGAAATCCCTGTGCTCCATCGTGCCATGAGAGGTGTATGTGAACAGCTGTGCTGCCAGTCCCCCGTGCCAGGCCCAGGGTGGGAGCTCACAGAGCTGTCAGCGCTTGGACGAGTGAATCAAGGGATGATTCCCCACTGAAATCACGACACCAGCGAGCCCTGGGCTCTTGAAAACTTTTACTCCTGGTTTTGGGAGAGGGCAGGGGATCAGTGCTGTGCATTGCAGTTGTGACTGCACCTGCAGAGATCCCTGGGTGCAGAGAACTGAACACCTGCTTGAACTCACTTCAGGCAGAAGCTGCTGGTGGAATATTCTTGAGCCTGGATCTGCTTCATGGCTCTTGCTGAAGGTTTGTGTTTAGCGAGGGTTTGGCTGGCAGCATGGAAGTCCCAGGTGCTGGGAATGATACAGACACCACACACAACCCCTGGGAATCTCTCCAGCACAAGCAGGGTAAGTTTCAGCTCTGAGATGAGAAGAGCAGCTCAGGGCTGTGTCTAGGCATACTGCAAGTATCGCCTGGGACTGAGATCCCGCAGCCTCTCTGGAGCTCTGTTCCTGTGCTAAATTTGATTACAGACACACATTCTTGCAGACTGTAGGATTTCCACAGCCAGCAAAGCCCCGTGGATTTGGGGAAGGACTGAATCCCGTGTGGGAAGGCTTCTCTCCATTGAATGGTGCCCTCGGGGAAGTGTTCCCCCAGGTGCAGGTGGGAGTTTGAAGGAAAGCCTTCAGAGCCTGGGGAGCACAGCAGCTCCTTCCAGGCAGTCCCAGTGGGATTTCCTGGCAGCACTGGGGCTCCTGGCAGATGCCCTGGGCAGTCCCAGCCTGCTCCTCTGGCTTCTCCCGCAGTGTGGTGACTGTTCTTACTGGCTGCTGCACTGCCTGGAGCCAGCCCTTAAAATATTGGGGCTGACCCAAGGGACAAGCCTCTTTGCAGTGACTCATGGGTGTTTTGGGAACAGCGTGGGGGACAGCAGCTCTGTCCCAGCCCCGCCTGGTTGATGGCCCAGGTGTGGCCGGGGGATGCTCACTGCACCAGGCAGGTCCTACAGGCAGCTCAGCACACCTGCGGCACTTCACAAGATTCCACCTTCTCGTTGTGTTACAAAAATCAGAGGGGTCCCTTTTTTATTTTTCTTTTTTGTTTGTTTGTTTGTTTTGGGGTGGTTTTTTTGGGTTTGTTGTTTTGTGGGTTTTTCTTTTTTGGTGGGTTTTTTTGTTGTTGTTGTTGTTGTTGTTGTTTGGTTATTTTTTTTGTTTGTGTTTTCCCCCTGCGATCAATGACCTTACCCCTCCCTGCCCTTGCACCGCCTCTTGCAGGGAGAGCCTTTCCGCGCTGCCGCTCCCAGGTGTGGAGCTGAGCTCACCTGCCCCGCAAGGTACGGCAGATCCAGGAAGGACAGGGAAGGAAATCCAGCTCTCACACTCATGTTTGTCCTGCAAGTCCAGGACCCGTCTCCTCCCATTCAAAATCAATAATCAGCAGCCCTGGAATAACCCGTCGGGGTTGTGTAACCGGTTTGCTCCTTGTCGCATCGCCGGTGGCGGGACGGGGCCGGAGGGGACCCCAGCAGGGCCGAGGGGATGGCAGGGGACACGGCTCTGCCACCCTGAGCCACCGCTGGGACATTCCCGAGGAGCCGCCCCTGACCCCTCCGAGGGGTCCCGGTGCCGGTGCCGGTGCCGCCTCTCCCGGGATCCCCGGGACGCGGATTTGTAAGGCTGGCCTGCCATCTCCTGGGAAGGCCGAGAAATGCGGCACGGAGAACACAAATACGGCACGGAGAACAAAAATACGGCACGGAAAAGGCAAATGTGGCACGGGAAACCCAGACCGGACGGAAGGTCCGCGGCCGCTTTGCTCAGCCTCTCCCCAGATTTCGGGGTGCGGCTCTGTGGAGGGTTTACCCCCTTTCCCTGCACCGGGGACACCAGCCCCACCTGCCATTCACACACTGCCTTGGGCATCCTGGGAATTTGAGAGGATGTTCTAGCAGAGCTTATGCGATAGGGAGATAAAAATCTTATTTTTTGTCACCGTGTGCCGGCAGAGGAGCCATCTCCAGCCGTGGAGCCCCACAGCAGCAGCAGGGGTGCAGCGGGGAGAAATGATCCTCATCCCACTTGGGAACACGCCTGTGCCTTGGTCTGCAGTGAGCAACACACCCAAGGACCCAGAAGAGCTGGTCAGGGTGGTTTAAGGTTTGTCCAAAAGCGTCCCAAGGTCTTGGCAGGTCTCAGAGCTAGAAGGGAGATCGTGTGGTAGAAATATGTTATAAATGCAACCTGGCCTGTGAGTGTCAGCCTGCACCAGCTAGTCTCATCCGTATAAAAAAATACAGTGAAAATACCATACTTCTTCCACCAGAAAATCCTGGATATTATTGTAATATTGTATTATTGCAATATCCACAGTCTATAGCAGGAATCTCTTTTATCCAACCTAAAACGCAATGTTTGCAGAGCACTTTGTGCCTCCAACACTGTTGGTGCCAGCATGACCAAGCTGCAATCTGCCCCAAAACTTCCCCCACAACTCCTGTACGGGGGGGAGAAGAGATCTGCCCTCCAAGGTGGCAATGCTGGGCACGTAGCCCAGCCCCAGGAGGCTGGTACCCCCTTCCCTTGCTTCCTGTGGCCTCAAAACAAGGGGTTTGATGTGCTGTCAGGTATGCAGCACAGCACAGTGGGTTTGGGGAAAATACCCCGTGCACTGCTTGAATAATTTGGCCAGCAATGTAAGTATTTTTTACTGTGCTGCATGCAGGTGGGGATGGGGAACATCGTCCCAGGGCATGGCTGTGAGAAGGAGCAGGCAGATGGCAGACTCTGCAGCTCTGCACACTCATTTGTAAAGCAAATTGGCCCTTAGGCAGGCGGGCAGCCACACAGCC